GTAGCAAACATTTGATTGGTCAAAATCTAGTACAACTATACTAAATAAGCTTTCTTCTATTTCCGTGATTGAACTTTGAAGAACTTCAAGCTTACAATCAGTTTCGTATCTACACTCACCACATTCATGGTTTCTTCTTTGAGAAAATGCTTCATTAAAAATGCTCGAATCTCTTTTCGGTTATCCTCGGTTGCTATAGAATATTCTAAAATGTCCATGTTGTTCTGAAAGGAGATGCCTTTAGGTTAAGTACATCCAAAATGAATGGATAAATTTAAACATCTCTGGCAGAATTTTGGGAGATCAAATTTAAAATTGACAGCATTTTCTCGAAAAATTCTATTGATTGAAATAATTTTTCAAGTGTATAAAGTTATGAAAATGACAATTGTCATTTCATACACATTTGCGCTATGAGATTACTTCTTTTACAAGCATTCTTCTCTCTTTACGCACTGCAGTGATATCCAACCAAAATGCAGTGCTAGCGCAAGTGCTTAACGTAAAACTCATGAGAGTATCATAGTTTTACAAGCTGAAAATTGAGTAATAAAAGTTCGCTTAAAACTATATTCTCTAACAAAATAGTTAATTACAAGATAATGGCTTTGTTTTCGCTTTTGCAGGATTGAGGAAGTTGAAACTACTATTACAGCGTCAATTTCATATCACGTGCACATGAAATAAGCATTTCCCATGCATATCAACAGCGAATTATACTCTGTGGGAAGTGCGCAAAGCATAAAAACGCCATCTACGATCTCGCTAAGCTCAACTGGCGATAATGTTTTGCCAACTGTCTGTCATTCATTATCATAGCCAAGACGGGCAAAGAATTGCACAAATCGACTTTTATGGAAAGAATGTTGCTGCGTACCTAGTGAGATACCCTAACACTATATGGAAAATGCGAAAAAAGAACCCGCTGCATGGGAGCTCATTAAATCCAGCTAAAACGCGGTTCATTTAACAGATTAAAGACAAATATAAAAAACGTTGCTCAAATCTGGTTGTACAACTCTGTATCCACACTAACATCTTTTTACATTTTGTATGTCGGATCAAAAAAAGTTCTTTAGAATAATATGTCCTTCTATTTCCCCAATTGAGCCTAGAACTCTGATGGGCAGGTATTTGTCACATTGTAAAATGATTTTAGAACGAGCCATGGATTTTCAAGAGGATTCCTATAGAAATATCGAAATATAGAAAAAAGCCAAAATTTTCCAGATTCTACTTATTCTTTTCCCCACTTTTTCTTCTGCTTTTAAAATTTTGTAACTCATCGTTCTAGTTCACAAGTGTTTTTCACCAGCTGAAGAGGAAAGCATAGAAATGGTCCCGAAAATGTTAAGCAACGTTGAATAATGAAAGAATGCAGAATGAGAGTTGAAAGCTTTTTGTAAAAGTAGCTATAATTTACTAACACCAACATACAACTGACGACGAATCAAAGCTGCTCTCGGCATAACCAAAACACTAGAAGCTCAGAAATCGGCACCTCGGCCTTAACCG